ACCCTAGAACTTCCCCAAAACGATGCCGTCTTAGAGCGTTCATATATAACATTTAGGGTACGTTTGGTTCACGGAATGTAAGATTACCAGTGGGAATAAAAGATTACCAGGGAATAGGATTACTGGGAATGTTGTATTTTGTGTTTGGTTGGTTTAGCAGGAATGTAAGATTACCGTGTTTGGTCAAAGGAATAAAAGATTATTGAAATGTATATTTGACCAAATTGTCCTTATTATATATTTGTATAATATTACAAATTGTAAAATATTTATATATTTTCTTTAAAAAATTAAATTCATAATATTTATATAATTTTTTTACAAAATTAAAAATATAAAAAATGTTTAATGAAAGGGTAAAAAAAATTTAACCCCTAAACTTCATATAAAATTTTAATTATAGACTTTTTTTTGTAAATCTAAAATAATTTAAGGATAAATTTGTAATTTAACATTCGTAGAATTTTTATTATTCAATGACAGAAGAAGGATATTTTTGAAAAAAAATAAAAATTTAAGGGCATTTTAGTCCAAAACGCCGGTAATGTTACAATACTTAAGGGAAGGGAGGTAATGACATTCCCGGTAATATACCCAAAAAATCTACTATTAGTAATAAAACATTACCGGGAATGAGATTCTCGGCCAACCAAACATGGGAATGTGGGATTCCCATCCCATAGGAATCCCACATTCCTTGAACCAAACACCCCCTTAGGGTAAAAGAAAAAAACCCTAACCCCCACTTTACTTCTTATTCTTTCTCACACGGCCATTTTCTATCCCCCTAACACTCCTCTAATGCAGCCGCCAGTCCCAAGAACCACGCGATCGCCGCCGCCCACCGGGTTTCGGTGGTTGTTTCACTCTCCGAACCGACGCCTCGCTTCCCCTGAACTCTTCTCTTTTCTTCCTACCATCTGGCAAAGGAAGCCACCGTGGCTGCCGCCTGTAATCGACCCCGATGAGGGGTTAAACAAACCTCAACCGAACCTTTTTCGAAAACCCCAAATATCTAGACCTAGCTCTCTCCACTAGATCCCCCAAAAGCTACCCAAGACCTATCGACAAAATCCCAGAGGAGAAGAATGCTTACTTTCGGTGACTTAACGACGTCTGGATGGTGGGAGGCGGCAACGACATTCCAGATGCCCCTAACACCGATGATGGCTCAACAAACTAAGGTAAATGGTTTTCACACTCTCTCCTTATATCTTAGATTCGAAAAAAATGAAAAAAAAAATAGTTGTATTCAATACCTCTTGAAGATGGGTTGTTTTATACTTTGTGATTCGAAAGGAAAGAAAAAAATGACCAAGTCTTTGTATTGCTCTCTGTAAAAAACGAAGGGGGAGCCCCCTGTTTACAATCTATTCCCCCTTTACAAATGTTGCTCCCCTTTCTTTTTTACCGAGAGGATCCCCCCTTATGTATTGATTCCTTTTCTGTTTTCGTTACATGCGTTACTGGCATCTCTACGTGGCCAAGGAATCCCTTTTGTTTATTTTGTTTTTTGTTGTTGCAGTACATTCGAAACGGTTTGAGCAAGAACGGGACAGCTGGCCCTTGTGGAGGCTTCGGGTGGAGTTTAGCCGTTTGATCACTGACTGGATCCAACGGTTAGCACCGTGCAGCGTAGTAGAAAATAATCTTAAGGTTAACAAACCCTAACTCAAGCATAATCCGACCGTTGATCTAACAAGAGATCCAATGGTGCATGTTGGGTGGCGCTGGGAATGACCAAAATCTCTATCTGTGTTGGACTGCTGCTTCTTGGGCCTCTACTGGATTCATTTGTAATTATTTTGGGCCAGTAAAATAAAATATTTAATTAGTGCATTTTAAATTATATTATATATATATTCAATTTAATTGTTTATTATATATTTATTTATACATATATAATCATAATGGTGTATTCTCCTAATTAATAATATGAATACGCCTAAATAACTAATATATAAACCCAAACAAAATCTTAATGTGATCCCTAGACAAAACGAGCATCTACAATCCCTTACTGATAAAACACCCTAACCTATCATCCTTACCGTCGCACGCCAATGTATATTATCATGTCCCTAGCATACCATCCTTACCGTCGCACACCAATATATCATCACATCATCAAAGAAGACACACTGTTAACACATATTTTCATTATAATATTATGTAATGTTCATGTTTCCTATTTTCTGTTTTAAGTTCCTCTTCGGGGTTAATTCGGATTCTTTTTCGGAGGATAAGATCACCATCCTGTTTCACGTTTCTTGACTTGGGGTCGTTTACGGAGGTTCTATATTCCTCTTCAAAGGGTAAAGTCCACATCTTGTATAGTCGTAATAAAATGTAAGATTAAAAGAAACTTTTGTAATAGTGTATCGATGATGAAAAGGTGTGTTCATTTATTTTTCCGACTACTATGTTTATGCTATATGTCATGTATGATATATTTATGATTTTCTGTTGATACTTGTCTGCCTTAGATGACAGGCTGAGCTTTATAGCTCATTTTTTTTATCTTTTCCTTTTAGATTATCTGAGATCGGAGGTGCAGTCTCGATTTCAATCTAAGTATAAAATTATGGATTTTCCAAAATAATTTAATTATGGCATGTATTATATGTTTTTTTAAATTTTAGACAACTTAAACACTTGATATGTTTTCAAGGATCACTTCAGTGACTAGTGTAATCTCCATGATTTGATCATAAGGTGGTTCAATAAAAAAAATTTCTCTCCTTTGTAATTCACGTAAACTTTGCCTTTGTTATTTTTTTTTCAGGATGAAAATAAGACGGTAAACATCCCCTAATTCCTCTATTTGCTATATATTTGTTCCTTAATTTAAATAGTATTAAAAGCCTTTATTAAATCAACTTTATTCCAAACTTAATTCCCTAGCAAAACGGCAGAATAAGAAATGTTTGGCCTCTATTAACAATATAAAAGCCTGTAAATCATAGTTTAATTCCTGTAATCACCATTTTTTACTTGTATTATTTTATTATTAAAAGAGAGATTATAATATTGTAGTGGTTGGGATTACTAATACCCCAACCATCCCATGTAAAATCATTCACGCTTTGTCCCCAAAAATAGGAATGAAAGAGATTTTTTTTCTAACTTTTTCTCTCCTTCACTGCTTTCTTATCTAGCTTTCTCTTTTTGGTTTTTCGTGGGGGTTCAAGGGCAGAGGGAGTGACCACCGTTGAGCGGTGGTCGGCGTGCAATAGAGACCCTCTCACGGCTAGGAAACTCGGTTGTTGGTGGTCGGCGAAGGATAGGATGTTTCGACCGAGAGGTCTATGGTAGGAGGGTTGTTTTCGGGTTTCGGTTATGTGAGTGATGAGCAAGGGGTGATGGTCGTTTATGTCGTCTAGATCTTCACCGGCCGGTCGAAGATGATCGTGAGGGAGTGAGGGGGTCACAAGGTCTTGGTGGCCGGCGTTGGGGGTCGGTTTTACATCCCTCGGCGTTGTGAAGAGAAAGAATGGGAGAGGGGGATAACGGGAAAGGTTCTCGGCCGTTTAAGCCGTCTTTAGGGCTTCCTTTGGCCGTGGTTAAGGTCGCCGTGGTTGTAGGTCGGTCACCGGCCTGGTGGCTGGCGTGTGGGGGACCGTTGAGTGGTGGCCGAGTGAGGTTGTGAAGCTTACAAGCTTCTGCGTAATTTACGTGAAAGGGATAATATTTTTTGTGTATGGAAAATGAGTAAACCACTCACCATGTCCCCAGAGTCTAGCCTCTTTTTGTTTTGTGTTTCAGGGTTAAACCGCAGTCTAGATCCTCCAATTTCAGCATGTTTTACGTTTACGTCACTATCAGGGTAAAATCATCTTTAAGCTCCTCATATTTTAATTTCTTTTGTACTCTGGTCATTAACTTTTTTATTTATTTATAATATGTATATTAATTTTATTAATTTTCGAATTTAGTCCCTTTATTATGTTTATTCATTTTAGCCACTGTTTGGAGTTTATTTTTTATGTTATTATGATGTGGATGTGATATTTACAATTTATTTATTTTAGTCACTTTTTTATTTCTGATTTGATTACTACTTTTTTGTTTTATTATATTTTGGTCCCGTATTATACATCAATTTAATTTCAGTTCTTTAATTATTGCACTCTAATTTCTGTTTAATGTATTTTACTCCCATGAATATATATATGCATGTTTCATATTTTTATCATATTTGAATGCCTTATTTTGCTACCTTACATTGTGGTCCTTATGTTTATGATTTTATTTTATTAAAGCACTTATATTTGTGTGATAATTATTTTTGGGCCTTTGATTTTTATTGTGTTTATACTTTTACTATTTTAGTTTAAACTATCATTATCTAGCATGATTAATATAATTTGGATTAATTGCCTTAATTTCTTATATTGATCAAATCAAATTGTTTAATTTCGAATTCTTGGAAGAAGCTATAATATTCTTTTTATTTCAATTGAAAATAGAAATATTCGTCCTAAAATATTTTAGGGATTATTTTCTCTTCGATTAGAAATATTAGAATATTTTTTATTTCTCCTTAGAATTTTCCATTAAATAAAAATAGTATGGTTGAATCTAGAATAATAGGATCATAACTTAAATTTATATTCGAATTCTTAGATTTCCACTATTAGAGATAATTTATAATCGATAGGGTATCAATTTTGGGCGTTGTGAGAGTGTTTTTCCTTTTCTACACGTAATCGATCCTCGAGCCCCTTTTTTATTTCAAAAAGAATGAATCTCTGGTTACACGCAGACTGGTTTATCTTTTAAAATGATGTTTTCTTAAAAACTCTTTTAAAAGTATTTTTAGGTATTCGACCTACCTAACTCAAAATGTCGATGATGACTTCAAAACATTTCAAAATATTTTCAAAAGAAAACCCCCAAGTCGTACATAGTTTTCCTCCGCCCGGGCGGAAAACGGCGTCGACAATTCCAAATTGAATTCTCCTTTAAATTCCCTATAAACGGGAGCAACAAAAATAAATAACATACCGCCATGGGATTTACTGGTGCCTATTCCTGCTTGGCATATCCTAGTCAATAACCATATTTCAATGCATGACGGCATTCCTCTGTCATCGAAAAATTCTTTTTCGTCACCTTGAATTAGATATGTTTCATGGCCTTTACCAGCAATCACCTGCAACACAGTGGATGAAATTAGCAGGATCATGAACTAGTGGTATATACAGGTAATGTGCAACTCCTTTGTCACGAGGACTGCAGCTATAGAAGGTCCTTTGTAGGATCATAAAACCATGTATTTCCAAAACAACATAGAAGCAAGCAAACCAACTCCTACAAAAAAAAAATCCAAATTTCAGAAAAACTTACAATCATATCGCCTTCTTCACCCATTGCAATGGCATTACATATAGCCACCGCCTATTCTTATGCACAAAAAGTTGATGACCATTTGGTAGAGGTGGATGGTAATCATTTTCTTCATATTTCAAGTAATCCGGCATGGTCCGTCCCGCACCGGCTAACATGTCATCCAAGATGTCCACTGATTAAACATACAAAAATTAATTAGCCTCGTTTTTCTCAGCAACTAATGATGATTTTTACTGTATTTCTTTTACTTACATGGATCTTCATTCCTGGGATTATCAGATGTAAGAATCGTCACTTCACTTTTATCTGTTGATATTTTGGCCATAATCGGTCTTTTCTCTTTGTCCCTATTCCTCCACAACTAACTTCTCCCAAATGACATAAGTTAGAAAAACAGAACAAAAGATAATGAAATGATTTCATTTGAAGGAGTTAAAAAGAAAATCAAAAGTGAGAAGCATACCAGTAATAATCCTCTTCGGTGCAAGCTCCCTTACAAAATCAAGCAGACTAGAAACTGCATCAGGAGTGTGAGCATAGTCCACAATTACTCCAAATGGTTGCCCTTCATCTATTACCTCGCACCTGCCGGGAACAGCATCGACCTTTTCGATCCCTCTACCGATGTCCTCCAAGGGTGCCCCTAGTGCAATCCCAACAGCCACAGTTCCAAGAATATTATAGACATTATGCCTTCCAAGCAAACTAGATGAAATCTCCAATACCCCATGTGGTGTATTAACCATGATCCGAGTCCCACTCAAGGACAACTCATATTTTAGGGCATGAACATCACCATTCTTGTTATCGATTGCAAAAGTAACCAAAGGAACTTCAGGATTGCCTTGGGCGATAAAGAAATGTGCATTCAGATCGTCGATGTTAATGACTTTTCTGTGCTCTCAGGATCCACCATTCTCTGAAACAACTTTGCTTTAGCTTTCTTGTACTCGTCCATAGTGCCATGAAAATCTAAATGATCCCTGGTAAAATTAGTAAGCACTGCAATGTTGAAATCAGCCTCCATACATCTCCCTACTGACAGTCCTTCGGAAGTGTCGTAACCGATTTTTGCCCGGGTACGAAATTTTTCTTGGCGGGAATAATAAAACGAATAAATAAATCATTTTGATTTAAAAAATATTTTGGGAGTCGCCATTGACCTTTTTGGGTTAGGTAGATCAAATACCTAAAAACAATCTTTTAAAATAGTTTTTAATAAAACATAATTTAAAATATAAACTGATCTGCGTATAACCAAAAAATTTTAATAAAAAGGATTCGTGGTCGGTTACGTTTAGGGAAGGATTAGCACCCTATAACGCCCAAAATTGGTACTCATTAATTATAATTTATCTCTATTATTGGAAATTTAAAAATTCAAAGATATATTTAATTTATAAGATTATTATTTCAAATTTATAATTTTATGAAAATATATTAATTTAAATATAAATAATATATTTATTTATTTAGAAATATCATAAAAGGGTTTCTAAGTGCTTTAAGATAGCTCTTTTCTTAATAAAAAATAGATAAATATTAAAGCATTTATTAAAATAGATATAATTTATAAAAGTAATATATTATTCAAAATATCAAAAAATGGACATCCAGTTGCTTTAAGACTGCCATTTCTTAATATTTAAATATTAAAAATAATAATTTTTTCAAATCTTTCACAACAATATGTGTTTTCTGATTTTTATAAGTAAGATATTTATTTATTTAAAATAATAGAATATGATATCTAGTTGCTTTAAGACTACCATTTTCTTTGATATTAAAAATAAATAAATAATATTATTTAAACAAATATATATATAGATACTTATATGAATAAGATAAAAATAATAAAATAATAATAATTAAAGCAATAATTAAAATATAAAAGTAATGATAAAATAATATTATAAATAAATAATGATTAAAATAAGAGAAATTAAAAATATAGTATACATGTACTAATATAATAAAATTTAAATACTAAATTCTAAAAAAAATCAATTTATTGATACACCTAGACATAGGTATCTTTCTTGAAGATTTTGTTAAATTAAAGAAACTGGGATCATGGTGATTTAATATAAATATCACGTGCAAATAGTAATGATTTAATTATATACCCTACATACATATTATATAAATTTATCAAACAAATTATTAACACTACCTAAACATAAAATTAATCATATTGATAAATTATATAACAAAATCATGCTACAATTAGGTTAATATGATCATTACTTGTCTGAAGAAAAAAATATATACCATCTTTATCATTTTTACTCTAATATATATATATAAATGACTAAAAGGAAATAAAATATAGATGTCAAACTAAAATAAACAGAAATATGCTTTTAATGATTAAATTATAAAAATATTAAAGTTAATAGAAATAACTTGAAATATTATATAATATAGGTACATATAGTATAATTTAGCTTTAATTATTAACTGGTAATTAAAATATAAATATTTAAAATTAAAAGGACTAAATTTGGTATTATCCTAAATATTTAATAAATATAGTAGGGACTATAATATAATAAAATAAAATTAAGAGTCTGAATTAAAAGGTTCGAAGTTTGATTTAAGTGACTAAAATGTAAATTTACAAAATTACAGACATTACGAGGCATATTTAACCATACGTGAAATTACCTAGAAGCCCTCACCAAAACTACGTCATTTTGGTGAAGGTATTTAAACCCTATTCCAATCGGCCTTAAGGCCATTCTTGTTCATTTCTCATTTCTCATTCTCTCTCTATTTGAGAGAGATGAGAATTTTCTCTGTTCCCTCTCTAAATTCCTTCACCGGGTGGAAACCGGTCTCCGACCGGCCGCCATCGCTCGCTGCCGCCGGCCACCGTCTCCGGTGGCCGGAAATTACAAATTAACCCAAACGATTCGCTTTTAAACCTTTAACCCGAATCTAGCATTCTTTTTTTCTAAAAACCTCTATTTTACCCTAGATCTAAATAAACCGAAGTGATTACCTTCGGTTAAATCTGGATCTCCGGCGGCTTTTGAAGATTCTAAAGCTGGTGGTAAGGCTCTCGACTTCTTCTCCTTTTGTTCTTCGTTTTGATGTTGTCTGGGATTGTTGGTTTAGATGCTTTTCTATCTCTTTTTTTGTTGTCTTCTCTCGTTCTTGCTCTGTGTCTCTTCTCTTTTTTCCTCCCCTTTTCTTCTCTGCAGGAGATGGCCATTTATAGGCCTCGTCGGTGTCTTCTTCGGACCAGTTAAAGGAATGGCCCTCGGTGAGTCACCGAACTATGGTGGTGACTCACTATAGGGTAGCAACGTGGACAAGGCAGCTGGCTTCTGGAGGCTTCAGCGTGGCAGCAGGGCGTTGGATCACCTGGCAGTGCTGGAAGCTGTTGCAACTGATGCGTGGAGGGGCTGCTCGCTGGAAGCTGCTGGAAATGATGTGTGGAGGGGCTGCTGGATGAAGGGGCTGCTCGGGTAAAAATTTAGTGTCTACAGCTGCCCCTCTTTGCTCATTCTTGTGTTAACAAGAATAGGGAAAAGACGAAAAGACAATAAATTTGTGTTCATTTGACTTCTTTTGATTAAGATGGAAATGTTGAACAAATTGTTCTTTGTTTGGATTAGTTCTTCTCATTATGAACTCTTCCATTCTTCCACTGGGGATGACAATTTATCTTCTTCCATGATGAAATCTAGCAAAAAGTTGAACAAATTCTTCTCATTATGAACTTCTTCTTCTTTTTCAGATGAGTTCTTCTCATTATGAACTCCTTCTGGAAATGTTGATCTTCAAAAGAGGGATTTGTTGATTCAACTCCATATGTGATGAATTAAGGTAAGGTTGAATAAATTCTGCTTATTATGAACTTCTTCTTCCTCTTCAGATGAGTTCTTCTCATTATGAACTTCCTCTGAAAATATTGATCCTCAAATGAGGTTCTTCTTTCATTCAATTCCATAGGAGATGAATCAATGCAAGGTTGAACAAGTTCTTCTCATTATGAACTTTTTCTTCCTCTTCAGATGAGTTCTTCTCATTATGAACTTCACCTAGAAATAGCTCTGCTGCTCTATCTCTTTTTGGAAATGGAGTCAAGGAAAAGGTTGAACAAGTTCTTCTCATTATGAACTTCCTCTTCCTCTTCAGATAAGCTCTTCTCATTATGAACTTTCTCTGGAAAAGTTGGTGTTGATCTATCTCCTTCTGTGATAGATTCATGCAAAAGGTTGAACAAGCTCTTCTAATTATGAACTTTTTCTTCCTCTTCAGATAAATTCTTCTCATTATGAACTTTCTCTGGCAATGCTGATCCATCGGGTGATGAATTTGAGCAAAAGGTTGAACAAGTTCTTCTCATTATGAACTTTTCCTTCCTCTTTAGATGAGTTCTTCTCATTATGAACTCTTCTGGAAATATTGAAAACATTCTGCCCAGAGGCCTTATGAATGGCCCTAAGGTCTTATCATCTTGCACTGTAGGGCTTACAGATGACCCTGAGGCTTTAAGATCAAAAAGCTCCCGAAGGCTTTTTGAAAACATCATGCACTGTAGGTCTTACAGATGACCCTGAGGCTATAAGATCAAAAAGCTTCTGAAGGCTTTTTGAGAACATCATGCACTGTAGGTCTTACAGATGACCCTGAGGTTTTAAGATCAAAAAGCTCCCGAAGGCTTTTTGAAAACATCATGCACTGTAGGTCTTACAGATGACCCTGAGGGTTTTGAAAACATCAAAAAGCTCCCGAAGGTGGAAATAGTTTACTAAGTAAAAAACTATAGAAATAGTTTTTTTACTTTTCAACAATTTCATTTTAGAAAAGATTAAATGAGAAACTTTGGAAAGCGTTTTCTCATTGAAATAATTTGTTGATTGGGTAACATGCCCCAAAATAAAGATAATGTTCATTCTTGTGGATTACGTCCATCTATTCTTCATATGTTTGCGTGATTCCTGCATTTGCGGTTTTGAATACCTTCTTATTGTAAGGTATTTTTCACCATGAATCTTCTTTTTCATATGAAAATCTGCAAAACCTTATGTTTGAATGCAATTAAATGTAGCAATGTAATGCATTTTCTGTTATGCAAATAATGTTCTTATGAATGCATGAATGTTTGTGCAATCTTCATTTGACTTCAAAGTGGTGAACTAGGTCTTCCTTCACTTCATCATTTATTTCCAGGGTCACCTCTGGATATTAGTGTATCAACTTATGTTATCAAGCTTGCATTTCTGCAGAATCATCTGATCGATCTGTATTTTGGTGTCTTCTTTGCTTCATCTAAGTCTCAGAAGAAATGTTTCATTTGTAGAACTCTTGCCGTAGTCAGAACTATGACTTTGATGCCCCATTTTGTCTTGGATAAAACCAACTCTTTTTGCTTGGACTTATGCAGAAATCCGATAAAGCTTTCATCTTTGAAAAGAGAATCTATCATCTTTAAAAAGAGAATATATCATCTTTGAAGAATGTAGATGTAGATATGTCTGACTCAGCAGAGATTAATTAGGAGAGTAGAGTCTGTTCTGATTTGACTCTTGAAATAGATCATAAGGAAGATTTATCCTAATTCCTTTCATGTCTCCACATCTAATTGGATCTCGAACAAAGCAACTCAAACCATACATGTAAAGATGTTTAACAACAATCTATTGTTTGATCTTAGTTGGCTCCAATAGTTTCTTGTTGTTAAAATTTCAACTCTCCTTCTGTGAAAGAAATATTCATCATATCTCACTTCTAATCTTGGGGTTGAAGAAGACAGACTTCATCTTGGATCAATAAATGAAAATCGTATGATCGCAACATTGGTTCAGCACCATAATCGTTGGTTCATAAAACATTTGATAACACATTCATCCTTTCTTGTGGCTTCTGCCCGAATTTCTGGTCAATGAAGCTCTTTGCATAGTGTTCAAAATTTTTTTGTATAACGTTACAAGACCACTTGAGAACAAAACTCAATGGGAATACAAGTGAGATGCTGGTGTGTTTCCTGACCAAAAAATTGGTCAAATTTACAAAATATGCTAGTGCCAAATTGAATAGGAGATACCAACTGGATCTTGATATCATTTCGAGTAAGAGCAAGTGTGATACCGATCACGTTTTCTTTTATAACTGAGCGTTGTAGGAAATAAAAACTCATCAACTATAGGAGCCATGTATAGAAGGAAGTTCATGGAATTCTTGCTGTTGGGTATGAATCGCACATGATAAAACCAAAATAGATGAAAACTTCAGTTCAGCCTGGCTGGCAATGATAACCCAGTAACATCGGGAAAGAGCAATATACATAAGCCGAGCCTCTTTATTAAATGTCATCAAGTAAACAAAAACTGATGTGAAAAACAGCTACATAACCTCAATAGTATGGTTGAAACTAACTGCCAGGAATCTCAAAAAAATATTTTCAATCATCACTGATACAGAGAATGCAAAATTCAAAGCCGAGATTTTAAAGAACTGAACCTTGGATCGAATGGTCTACATGGGGACCATCTTTATCCATGCAACCATGGTGTAGCTTAATAAAGAACACACTGTCATGTGACACATGGTTAAGAGGATTGGGTATTTGAAACCATACTTGTTGAGTAGATATTTGTTCAACAACAGGACCCTAATGCAACTGCCTGATAAACAAAGCAATTATGTATACTCAGCTCGACTGTTACTGTTTTACCATTTTCATTCTTCATATCTTTATGTCTCATTAGAAATATTTGTTCAAGTCAATGATCTTGACACAGGATGATATGGGCCTTCAGCATGCCCCAACATTGGCTAATACAAGTGTTCAAAATGCATCAACAGTCCTGATTCTGATTGAAAGGGGCTTTCAGCATGCCCCAGCATTTTGCTGATATAAATATTCAAAATATTTCAATATTCCTGATTCTGATTGAAAGGGGTTTTCAGCATGCCACAACATTCGCTTCTTGTTAATTTGAGCCTTCAAAATGCCCCACATGGATCTGTCTGAAAGAACCTTTAAAATGCCCCAACATTTGCTGATACAGATGTTAAAAGTGTGCTCAACATTATTTCTTGTTGAGATGAGCCTCCAAGAATGCCCAAATATTCATATTGTTGTGAGCCTTCAAAATGCCCCAATATTCTATTTTTGGTTGAAATTGGCCCTCAAGATGTCCCACATGGATCTGTCTGACTTGGGCCTTCAAAACTGTAAGGCTTACTTTCAATGTTTGTTTGATTTTAATATCATGATCCTCACGAGGTCCAATTTTGACAATGTATTATGGTGGGTACTTGTGGCTTTATTCGTGCCCCAAATCTATTTTCTCATTATGGTGTCACTAAACAATATTTTGTCATATAACCTGAGGAATTCTTTTCATGTTGTTTAAGAAGTAATCAATCATTCTGACGAAAATGTCTGAGATATGTGCCTCTTATGAATAAATTGCCCATTTTTTTGGATCTGAAGGAACCTAGTCGGACAGAGTGGTATAAATCGCTTGGTAATTCATTCCAGACCGACACAGTGAACCTTGTTTTCAGTGAAGCCTCTTGAAAAGTCCGCATCCACGCAACATGTTGATTCTGATAACTACTCATCTGATTATGAAGCGATCTTTCAGGATGATTTCACAGATATTGATAGTTCTTCTGATACTGAGGAAATCCTGAATTCTAATTCTGATGAGGGGAATAAACTGTTATACTTGACAAAAATGGGGTACTCAGAGGCTGAGGCCTTAATAGTCATGGAGAGATGTGGTCTGGATTCATCAATTGCAGAGTTGAAAGATTTTATATGTGCTGCTCAAATGGCTAAAGCCGCTGACGCACTTCTTCCGGTAGAAGATAGAAAGCCATTATGCAGTGACACCAATTACAATAAAAGGCGAAACTCGGGCTATGATTTTTTTGGAAAAGGAAGAAACAGAGGAAGCTTGAAAAGAAGCTTATTAATGAAGACGATCATGTTGTTCATCTTCTAAATCCAATGATTGGTTTTGGGGTTCTTACCATACCAGATCAGATAACTCAAAGAACACTTCCAGAAGATGCTATTGGGCCTCCTTATTTCTACTATGAGAATGTGGCGCTTTCTCCAGTTGGTGTTTGGACCAAAATGTCACGGTACTTATACGATGTAGAGCCAGACTTTGTAGATTCAAATTATTTTTGTACTGCTACACGGAAAAGGCCTACATTCATAATCTGCCAGTTGAGAACAGATTTCCTCTTATTTTGCTTCCTCCATGCACCATACATGATGCTTTTCCATTGACAACAAACTGGTGACCTTCCTGGGATCCAAGAACAAAGTTGAACTGTTTACAAACATGTACAAGAAGTGCCAGATTGACATAAATGATCCGTAAGGCTCTTGAAACTTATGAAGATTAGCCACTTTCGAGTGTCCAGAAATATGTTCTTGATGAGTGCCGAAAATGGAATCTGGTATGGGTTGGAAGAAATAAAGTTGATCTACTTGAACCTGATGAGGAATAAATGCTTATAGGTTTCCCTAAAAACCATACATGAGGATCTGTATAGAGACATGTTCCCTGGTGGTATCAATGTCCTGTCTCTTTTCTCTGGGATCAATGGTGCAGAGGTTGCCTTCTACCTGTCTTGGCATACTTTTGAAAACAGATGTGCAAGAACTGAATGGTGATTGATTAGAGCAATTGATGAGTAGATTTGGCGGATTCGACCTGGTTGTCAGTGGCATCCATTGTAACAACCTTACTGGAAGAAATAAACATTATCGGGGCGAACTAGAAGATTTTTGTTGGTGCATTTTCTTGGAATGACTGCTATAGTGACTGTCTCTTCTGTCGTTTCAAGATACTCACTGTTATATCTCACTCTTCCTGAACCATGGAAAGGTTTAGTTGACAGTAAAACTGGTTATCTTTACTTTTGGAATCCTGTAACTAATGTTACCCAATATGAAAGGCATACAAGTGTAGAATCTATTCCAATCTTATTTAAGTTCAACAATCTTCTGAATGACATAATGGATATAATCCTAACAAGGAAAATGATCGACATAGAAGAAGTAGCAATGATGTACCAAGACTTGAGCCAGTATCACGGTATAACTGGAGTGAAAGTGATGACTTGTTCATTCCCATAATACACTTAATGGGACTTATGACTCTGTGATTGGAGAATCTGCTAGAGACATGGATTGATGGCTGGGGAAAATAATTTGTCTGGTGATGCTTATCGTCTTCAGCATGAGATAAGTGATAATTTTCTTGATGGATTGCTAATGATGTCACAAGAGAGTGTTACAAGTTCAATTCTCCAGACTTTCGGGCTTTTTGGACCACTTGTTTTCAAGAAAGTGCGATGCTTCATCATTCTAGTCTCGTTTTTTCTACAATAGAGGAAAAATAAACAACAACTTGCTTCAAGGACCTTCCTTATTTGAGACTGTCCTGTTTGAAAATGTTTTTCCTTCTTTCTTTATCGAAGAATGAAAGAATTTTGTAAAATGTTGCCTATCACAGGTTCACAATAAAATCAAATCATAAGCATGAATTCAAAGAATATCAAAAGAATCAACAATTCTTTAATGTTTGAGAATTATAGTTCTTTGACAAGTATCAAGATTTGGTTTGGTTTCAGGATGGCTTTCCTATTTTCTATGGTTACATCTATTTAAGATGTCACTCATCTATCGTTCTTTGTGAACTTTGTCATATGCCTCACTTTGGGGACTTGGTATTTTAATCGGATACGTACAAAATGACGCAATTAGGATTGCCAATTACTAGACCTTCTAGAGTCTTTCCATTTCAATTCTCTGGAAACTTTCATTTAGACTCATCTAATCAAAGTAGTGAGAAAATATCGGTCTAAAAATGAAATTTCTGAGTACTTGTGTGAAGTTGACTATAACAGGTGTTTCGTAACTCCCTTAGTCCATTTGTTAACACATTTGCCATTTTGGCTAGCTGAATTCAGCTTTATTGTATATGATAGTATAATCACCTTTATCAGGTTAATTGAAACTTATCCATAAAGCCGGGGCTATTAACCAATTGCTCTAGAGGGACAACTTTATTACATATAATAATATAATGGGTTGGCTGAATATTATCCATAAAGCCGGGGTGATTAACCATTTGCTCTAGTGGGACAACTCAAGCTTTATTGTTTATAATAATATAACATGGGTATCCAAATCCAATTTCTTAAGCTTATTAAGAAGAACCTGTTATAGTCTAGGTGTTTTGGTGGAATTCAGAAAATCTCTTCGTTAGAGTTCAATTCCCAAGCAACTGACTTAAACTAGATTTACCTATTTGTAAAAATTATGTTCATCATCGAACGTCATTAATAGAAAAATATTCTAATCGGTTTTGTAATGTAATACACAAACGATGCCCCATGTTGTACGCTCCTATATATAAATACCAAGCCTTTTTGTAATTTCTTTCAATAGGAGTAGGCTATCTCATATTTGTAATAGGATAGTGTTTGGGTGTATTTATTCTGAGGTAAGGTCAATGGTCCTTGTTTATCTGGTTTTCAATCATGATATTCTGTCAAAGATTATAACTCTAATCATGAAGAGCTTTTTAATCCAGTTGATATTCAAAGAACTGCAAGATTGCAAAATTAACTCAATGCTCATAACCTTATTAAGCAACACAAATTTATTTATTGCACAAAAGGTGGAGAAAGGAACAAAAACAAGTTTAAACAGGATGCTGAAAATAGAAAAGTACTACAGTGGTAGATAACAACTTCCACTTGTTTATTTATCATGCCACATCACTTCTATAATGTTGGCTGTGTAATCGGATCAGGGTTTTCATCCTTATTTGCCCCCCATTTCTTGATCATTTCTTTTGTCAAGACTCTTTTGCCAACAAGCATCTCTATTTCTTTTAACAGTTGCCTACAATTGCCCGTGGAATGCCCAAATACTCCCAAGTGGAAATCACAAACACTACTTTGATCATAGCTATGAGCAGAAGGGTTTGGTGACATTTTCATTGGTTTTGGTGTAATGTACTGACCTTGAACCAAATGAGGGTATAAGTCTGAAATGGAAGTTTGAAACACTTCCAAAGTTTTTCTTGATCGTGTGACTTTCTTTGGTCGATCCGAATAATTACTTGCTCTTTTTCTTTTGCAATTGCGGGAACTCTGGATACAACACTCATTTACATCATCAGCTTTCGCTTTTTGATCCGTCGGGCTCTTGGATGTGACTTTTGAGTTTTCTTCACTGATTACATTCTCAATTAAATATCCACTTGTCACAAGATTCTCGAATTCTTTCGTAGGATTTGCCTGCATTAACTCGAACAAAGGCGCTGGAAGGGAATCACGAAACATACGTGATATCTCTTCTTCTAACATAGGAGGTTGAACTTGTGCTGCCACTCCTCTCCATCTTAAGGCATATTCTTGAAATCTTTCATTGGCTTTCTTCTTTATTCTTCGAAGATTCATACGTGTTGGAGCTAGGCCTTTAACATACCGATATTGTTCCAAAAATGCATCAGCTAAATCAACCCATCTCTTGATTTGTTCTTGTGTCAACTGATGTACCAGACTACTGCTGGGCCAACAAGCTATCATGGAAAGAGTGAATTAACAGATCATCAGAACTTAAATATCCTTCCATTTTTCTGCAAAACATTCTCAAATGGATTAAGGGACAACTGGTGCCATCATATTTCTCAAAATCAGGCATTTTGAAATCATGGGGAATAACCAAATATGGAACCAAGCTGAACTCTCGTGCTTCTAATTCTTTGTGGTGGGCACTAACATCTTTCATGTTTCTGATTGCTTTCTCCGCCCTCTTAACTCTCTCCTCATATTATGAATAATTAATGAGGCTATTCTTTAGGTTTGAGTGGGATGACCTAGGGTATATTATTTTTCTCGACTCTTCAATCCGATAGCACGATTTCTCTTTAGCATTTATCTCTTCTTTATCAGATTCTATTCCCTGAATAATTTGATTTGATTCATCTGGTACTGAATCTGATGCTTCTTTCCTTATATCCTGAGGTAACCCTACAATTGTTCTGGCCCCTGATCTTGTAGTCCCTCATAAGATTGCTCCATTGCTTTCATGATGATGGTACAGTATGAATGAATAGTCTCGATTTTACTGTTACAGAACCCTTCATGAATTATTTATGTTTTTATAATTAATGTATATACCAATACTTTAACAAATAAAAAATGTAAATGCAAAATGCATAAATGCAAAAATGTAAATTATTTAAAATACCATAATAGGACATCCAGTTATATTAAGACTGTCATTTTCTTTGATATTGAAAATAAATAAACATTTAAATATGTTTTAATGCATGATGAAAATGTAAATACAAACGTAAAAAATAAAAAAATGCATCTTAGAACAGATTTCATTGAACACAAAAGTTTCCGTGCATTAAACAAAACTTTTACATGTAGGGGACAACTTTCAGTCCTAACTTCAACAAAACTTTACATATAGGGAATAACTTTCCCATTTTCTTCTCTAAAACCAAGTTAGTTTATCAGCATATGGGCCATATTGCTTGTCTGGACTGCAACTTCTTCCATGACATTCTGGTGTTCTTTCATCTCCTGTGTCAATTCTCGGAGTTGCTTATTTTCCCTTGTGAGAGAACATTTGTGTTCAAAAAGTTTTTGGACAAGATCTTCATGTATGTTGCAACTCTTTTTCAGTTTGGTGACCCCTGTTATCCACTCTTCTGGGGTGTTTCCTATGCCAGCATTTTGAAAAGCTTGATTGATCTTCTGGAAATCTTCCTGCATGGTTTCCATTTTGGTGCTCAATTTATTGTTTTCCATCTTTAAATGATGTATTTGAGCCTCGAACCTCAGTAAATCTTCTTATTTCTGGGCGCCCCTATTGATACTCTTACCTTTGAAGACTTTTGGTATTAATCTAGCAAGACCTTTGGTTACCAAACTAGGTCGATCATTTACCATAAATTGTAAGGTTCCATGATCCAAAAGACTTTGGACTCAACGTTTGAAGGCAAGATAATTCTCGATGGTATATCCTTGAGCTCCAGCATGATATTCACAATGAACGTTGATGTCATACCAATTTGGATACGGAGGTTGGAATGGTTTTATGTAATATGGAGCCACTTCTTGTGCTTCAAGTAACTTTTCATACAACTCTTTATATGATATAGGTATAGCATCAACATGAGAACCGCCTTTTGTCTTGGATTGAACCTGAGTTTTAGATGCCGGGAACATACTAAACTTCGATGATTTCAGGTTACATGATTTCTTCTCTTCTCTGGGAGCTTTTACAGTTGTCATCATTTCTTTGGTATCTCCAGATGACTTGTGAATACGAATGATGATTGTCTGTAACTTCTCCAATTGATTAGGATCAGAAGTCCCTTGCATATCTGAAATTGCAAGATTATGTTCATTGATCTCTATATCTTTTTGTGCATGAATCTCTTTTCCTTTGGTCAAACCAGATATTCTTTCCATCATTTTGGACATCTGCTCTCTTATTTGTCGTATCTCCTTTTGCTCTTTAATGAGCATACGATCTTTGGGTGCATAGCTCTCATCTATCCTCGGAGTTCCCTCAGGATGCCTTTTCTTGGCCGCATCATATTTTGTTTGATCATAAAATTTTTTGTCCATTTACGATTTCTTTCCAATATGATGAACAGTATTTCAAGTCAACACCTTTTGATTATGTCATGATCATGCAATGCAAACAAAAGAAATCAATATAAACAAGTTTAAAGCAATATAACATGCATGAAAAAAAAATAAGAAAAAATAGAATAGTTAGTACCAACTAATGGAAAGAAAAAATTTATATCTATCAAGGTATAAATCCTAACCTCATGCTTTCTAGTTTCATGCTTTGTTTGGAAAAATTAACCTAACCGCATGATTTCTAGTTCGCAGGCATTTATTCAGAAAAAGGAAAAAATTAAATAAATCAAAAGACAAAAAGTTAGAACTTATTTCTCCTTTGTGTACACCTATGAACAGAGGTTCAGTACTGTCTTAGATCAGGTGAATTTCTAGGGTTTATTATATGCAGAGTTTCAGTTCTAGGAGTAAAGGTACTCGAATTGTCCTTGTTGATGCCCCCTTGGGCTGCCAACCCTCAATCCTAGTCCACTACAGACTTAAGCAGACCGAGTTCAATTCGAGGGGACACATTTCTTTATGCCTGACACGGAGAATAAATTCTCACGAAGACATAGAGCATATGAACCCCGAAAGCTACTTGCTAGGTCTGACACGGAGAATAAATTCTCACGAAGACGTCGTTTTCACTCCCACTTAAAAGGGACAAATCCCAGTTATAGATATTATGTTTATGCAATGCATGTGTTGTGTGTGAGGATAAATGTTCAAACCTCTGGCAGATAAATAATGAAATAAAATACTTGAAAAATAAAATGAAACATTAATAAAATAATATACATATAAATATTATGAAAATAATAGGTATATATAAAAATTTTGAAAAGAAAAAATTAAATATATGAATTTTTAATTTTAAATTTTTTAATTAATAGAGACAATTCATAATTGATTTTAAAGTTTGACCAGGTCCCCAGCGGAGTCGCCAAGCTGTCGTAACCGATTTTTGCCCGGGTACGAAATTTTTCTTGGCGGGAATAATAAAACGAATAAATAAATGATTTTGATTTAAAAAATATTTTGGGAGTCGCCATTGACCTTTTTGGGTTAGGTAGATCAAATACCTAAAAACAATCTTTTAAAATAGTTTTTAATAAAACATAATTTAAAAGATAAATTGATCTGCGTATAACCAAAAATTTTTAATAAAAAGGATTCGTGGTCGGTTACGTTTAGGGAAGGATTAGCACCCCTATAACGCCCAAAATTGGTACTCATTAATTATAATTTATCTCTATTATTGGAAATTTAAAAATTCAAAGATATATTTAATTTATAAGATTATTATTTCAAATTTATAATTTTATGAAAACATATTAATTTAAATATAAATAAAATATTTATTTATTTAGAAATATCAGAAAAGGGCTTCTAGGTGCTTTAAGACATCTCTTTTCTTAATAAAAAAATAGATAAATATTAAAGCATTTATTAAAATAGATATAATTTATAAAAGTAATATATTATTTAAAATATCAGAAAATGGACATCCAGTTGCTTTAAGACTGCCATTTCTTAATATTTAAATATTAAAAATAATAATTTTTTCAAATCTTTCACAACAATATGTGTTTTTTGATTTTTATAAGTAAGATATTTATTTATTTAAAATAATAGAATAGGATATCTAGTTGCTTTAAGACTACCATTTTCTTTGATACTAAAAATAAATAAATATTATTATTTAAACAAACATATATATAGATACTTATATGAATAAGATAAAAATAATAAAATAATAATAATTAAAGCAATAATTAAAATATAAAAGTAATGATAAAATAATATTATAAATAAATAATGATTAAAATAAGAGAAATTAAAAATATAGTATACATGTACTAATATAAATAAAATTTAAATACTAAATTCTAAAAAAAATCAATTTATTGATACACCTAGACATAGGTATCTTTCTTGAAGATTTTGTTAAATTAAAGAAACTGGGATCATGGTGATTTAATATAAATATCACGTGCAAATAGTAATGATTTAATTATATACCCTACATACATATTATATAAATTTATCAAACAAATTATTAACACTACCTAAACATAAAATTAATCATATTGATAAATTATATAACAAAATCATGCTACAATTAGGTTAATATGATCATTACTTGTCTGAAGAAAAAAATATATACCATCTTTATCATTTTTTACTCTAAAATATATATATAAATGACTAAAAGGAAATAAAATATAGATGTCAAACTAAAATAAACAGAAATATGCTTTTAATGATTAAATTATAAAAATATTAAAGTTAATAGACATAACTTGAAATATTATATAATATAGGTACATATAGTATAATTTAGCTTTAATTATTAACTGGTAATTAAAATATAAATATTTAAAATTAAAAGGACTATATATGGTATTATCCTAAATATTTAATAAATATAGTAGGGACTATAATATAATAAAATAAAATTAAGAGTCTGAATTAAAAGGTTCGAAGTTTGATTTAAGTGACTAAAATGTAAATTTACAAAATTACAGACATTACGATGCATATTTAACCATACGTGAAATTACCTAGAAGCCCTCACCAAAACTACGTCGTTTTGGTGAAGGTATTTAAACCCTATTCCAATCGGCCTTAAGGCCATTCTTGTTCATTTCTCATTTCTCATTCTCTCTCTATTTGAGAGAGATGAGAATTTTTCTCTGTTCCCTCTCTAAATTCCTTCACCGGGTGGAAACCGGTCTCCGACCGGCCGCCATCGCTCGCTGCCGCCGGCCACCGTCACCGGTGGCCGAAAATTACAAATTAACCCAAACGATTCGCTTTTAAACCTTTAACCCGAATCTAGCATTCTTTTTTTCTAAAAACCTCTATTTTACCCTAGATCTAAATAAACCGAAGTGATTACCTTCGGTTAAATCTGGATCTCCGGCAGCTTTTGAAGATTCTAAAGCTGGTGGTAAGGCTCTCGACTTCTTCTCCTTTTGTTCTTCGTTTTGATGTTGTCTGGGATCGTTGGTTTAGATGCTTTTCTATCTCTTTTTTTTGTTGTCTTCTCTCGTTCTTGCTCTATGTCTCTTCTCTTTTTTCCTCCCCTTTTCTTCTCTGCAGGAGATGGCCATTTATAGGCCTCGTCGGTGTCTTCTTCGGACCAGTTAAAGGAATGGCCCTCGGTGAGTCACCGAACTATGGTGGTGACTCACTATAGGGTAGTAACGTGGACAAGGCAGTTGGCTTCTGGAGGCTTCAGCGTGGCAGCAGGGCGTTGGATCACCTGGCAGTGCTAGAAGCTGTTGCAACTGATGCGTGGAGGGGCTGCTCGCTGGAAGCTGCTGGAAATGATGTGTGGAGGGGCTGCTGGATGGAGGGGGCTGCTCGGGTAAAAATTTAGTGTCTACAGGAAGAAGCCTCCATAACAACTGCCTTAGACCCATTATGGAACATCTTAGCCATCAAAATCTGAACCACATTAGCATCTGGGGTAGTAAGTGGTGATTCCAGCCCCAACTTATTGTCCCCATGAATATAATAACCAATGGTGCCTAGCAACCCAATCCACACACCCAATGCCTCATACAAACCCTTTACCAAATAAGTGGTGGTTGTTTTACCATTGGTCCCGTTGATGGCAATAACAGTCATACTCTTTGAAGGGTACCCATAAAAAGAGGCAGCTAGTGTAGCCAGAACTGAATTAGCATCCTCAACAATGACCAATGTCTTGTATCCCGAGGTTTCCTCAATTCCATTCCCTTTACTTGCTATGACAGAAACAGCTCCTCTCCTATGAGCTTCAGTCAGATGCCGGCGTGCATCAAAACTCGATCCAACACAACAAACAAACAAATCCCCAGCTTTAACCTCCCTAGAATCTTGCTGTGTACCTGTTATTTCAAGCTCTAAATGTCCATAAACAGAAAGTGGCACCACTTAACTTTCGTCTAAAAGCTCAGCTAAACTCATTTTGAACTTGGGTTCCAAAATTTTGACTTCACTCTCCCCGTCAAAACTCCCCGTTTCCTCTTGAAGTCTTGGTGTAAGAGTTTTCCATCCCGGGTGGCTTGGCAAAGGATTTGCTGAAATCTTTCTATGCCGTCATCGTCGAAAGTGTTGAGGTAATACTTTCTGTTGGGAGTGATGGCAAGAAGCTTGAAAGGGATATGATGGTGACGGTGGGAATGGCGCGTTTTTGGAGAGATGAATCTGTAACGAGGAGAAAGAAAGGTAGGGGAGAAAAGGGTGAAACTGAAAGCAGCCATTGCAGAGAAAGGGAAAGTTGAAAAACTGCAGATGCAATGAGGTAGAAGAAAGCTTGGGGTGGGTGTCAACTCTGATTTCACTTTAATTACAGTTGCAGTGAAGTTTAATGCGGTCTCATTATAATTTGGGTAAACTACCTATTTACTACTCACCTATTATTTAATTTATGTTTTAATCATTAAATTATTTTTTAATTATTTATTTAATAAAATAATAACAATACCGATTATTCCATTTTATTATTCAAAAATAAAAAATATTACATCAGTATCACTCTTAATTTTTAATGATAAGTGACTAAAACAATCAAAATATAACATTAAATATAATTTTTTTAAAATAATAATAATTGATTAACCAAAATAAAAATTAAGTAACAAGTAGGTGACCAAATATGTAGCTTATCCTTTTATTTTTAGAATAGATAAAATATTACTAAATTCAAATTATTTAAAAGGGATATATATTTATTTGTTACCAGAACCACTGGATAAGGTTTAAATGAGTCGGATAAAGGTTTTAAGTTCACTGGTAGTATTAAATACCCAAAACTAACTCCGTCCGGATGAACATTCACGTAGTGAAGGACATAAGTGAAGGACATAATAATATTTTTAAGGTATATATATATATTAATAATATAAAAATATTGTATGAAATAAACATAAATATTTTTTATTAATTTAGAGTAAGTACATTGAATTCTTATATTCTTATTATTTATGATGTTTGAATTCAGAATCTCAAATAATAATAATAATATTTTGACCACCAAAATTGTTTGATTCGTCCAATATATATAAAACTTAAAGATAGACGTAATAAATCAAAGAAAATTCAAATTTTAGAATGAGTACAATATTCTCAATTGGAAGCATGGGCAGAATTTCATGAGAGTCAAGGCTCAAACTTAAAGATAGACGTAATCAATTAAAGAAAATTCAAATTTTAGAATGAGTACAATATTCTCAATTGGAAGCAGTGGCAGAATTTCACGAGCGCTAAGATGAGCCTCGTCCCCGTTAATTTCTTTTAAAATATTAATTAATATTAAAAAAATACATTTTTTAGAAAGTAAATGAAGAAAAATGTATCCAACTCCTTAATTAAAAAAATTATATTTATAAAAAATAAAAATAGTTTAACTCCCACCTTAATAAATTACTGGTTCCACCATTGATTGGAACTACTATGGTTCCAATCCAAAATCTTTAACCATCTAGACACTACTCGCTGAAAATATTTTTAAGAAAATATTTTTTTGTAAAATAAATTATATACTCTGTAAAATATTTTTTGAAAAACGACGAAAATTTAATAAACTAAAACTTGAAACAGAAATACAATAATTAATAAAAATAATACTAAAAATATCGAAGGTTTACACTTACCACTTTCATCAGTCCTCTATAATCTGTCTAACTTAGATAAACCAAAGAAAATAATTCGTATGTCTATCTTGGATTCGGAAACAAATATCGGATTTGTTCTCTGAGATATCAGGTGTGATTAAATGTTTGATTTAACTTTAATTTTGAAAAAATTTATATTTTAATCGATTGATGTGATTTTTTAATCTGATTTAAGACTCAGTCGAATTAAGGATGTTACAAACAATACGAACGAAAGTCACATACCTTAGTTTCACTTTAGATGCGTTTGGTTCATGTAATATAATATTATCAATGAGAATGTAAGATTATCAGAGAATAGGATTACTGAGAATATTGTATTTTGTGTTTGGTTAGTTTAGCAGGAATGTAAGATTACCGTGTTTGGTTAAAGAAATAAAAGATTATTATAATGTATATTTGAACAAATTATCCTTATTATGTATTTATTTTTTTAACAAGTTGAAAAATATTTATATATTTTCTTTAAAGAATTTAAATTCATAAAATTTTATTTTAACCCCTGAACTTCATATAAAATTTTAATTATAGATTTTTTTTTGTAAATCTAAAATAGTTTAAGGATAAATTTATAATTTAACCTTCGTAGAATTTTTATTATTCAATAACAGAAGAATAATATTTAAAAAAATTAAGGACATTTTAGTCTAAAACACCGGTAATCCAACAATATCTAAAGAGAGTAAAATAATATCATTCATGGTAATATACCCAAAAAATATTATTAATAATAAAACATTACCGAAAATAATATTCTCGAACAATTAAACATAAAAATATAAATTTCATTAGAATGAAAATTCCACATTCTTTAAACCAAACTTCCCTTATTATAATATTTGCTTAAGGGCTTATATTGTAGGCTCCACACACAAGTTGACATACCAAAAACTTAATTAAATGCACTTACCTCTTATAGTTGACTCGACACCACTAAGCTCACTAAAACTTGATCTACCTTCTGTATCCCATATCTCGGTGGATCTACCCTCCACATATCCCTACAATCCTTTTGAGGTTCACTAAGTGGCAGATCCATTAAGGATTAAATGTGGGTATTGAAATCTGGATTTTTTTTTATTAATCATCTACTTTATTATTGGTATTTTATTTCTTCTCACCCTATTTAAAAATTTTGTATCCTTAACATTTATGTAATTATCCTTAAAAATATTTTTAAACCAACCCCTGCTAAACCAATATGATGGTTATTTCTCTATACATATAGGTTTTCAAAACACTAGAGTTTATTAAAAAGAACTTCGGAATGATTTACTCTCTTTGTTTAAACTTGGATACCATCATGATCCTATCTAATATCCATTTGACTATTCAATCTCCATCATCATGAACCCTAACTATCCAGGTCTCATTTTATGCATTGAAATTGAATGAGGGATTTTGAATGGAAAAAAAAAACTCTCCTAAAATGTAAATCTACTTTTTCTCCTCAAGAGAAATCAAAATTACACTCACACTTGGTTTATGATTATTCAGTTCAGTTAAATTTATTTCTTGTTTTTTATTTTGATTTTAGGTTTAATTTTTTTAATCTTATTTTAATAAAAATAGCTTTAGTTTATGTTTATAAACATTATGAGATAAAATTTTAAAAAATATATATATAAATATTTTTCGAAATAATTAATTTTTGTTAAATAAAAAATAATCAATAATTAGAACTATTTTTCTGAAAATAAATTAAAAAAACTAAAACTTAAATTAAAATGAAAATGAAAAAAGTAAAGAATTGAAGTTAATCAAATAAAATTATCGTAAAATGTTTAAAATTTAAAAAAAACAAATGCACATTAACCCTAGATAAAATTATTATTTAGGATGAAAATAAAAATAAATAAATAAAATTGATAAAATTGATAAAAAGTATTATTGAAATGTTTTAAAAAAAGTTATTATTGAATTATTATTTACTCAACAAAAGATAAACTTTTATTAAAACCCTAATTCCCATCCTCTTCCTTCTTAAACCTTTCAGCCTCTCTGAAAACCCCAATTCTCATCCTCTTCCTTCTTAAACCTCTCAGCCGTTTCCATCACCACCACCCATTCCCTAAAACCTAAACCTAAAAAGAATTCAATAGCCATGAAATCTGACTTAGTCCTTATCCTAGACTTCGGTTCTCAATACACCCATCTCATCACTCGCCGCATTCGCGCTCTGTCCGTCTTCTCCCTTTGCATCTCAGGCACTTCATCTCTTTCCTCCATCACATCGCTCAATCCGAAGGTTGTTATACTTTCTGGCGGACCTCACTCGGTCCATTCCGACGATTCGCCTTCGTTTCCAGATGGGTTCGTTGATTGGGCACTGTCCAATGGGGTTTTTGTTCTGGGTATCTGCTATGGGCTTCAGTTGATTGTTCAGCGACTCGGCGGTGAAGTCAGGATGGGGAAGAAGCAGGAGTATGGAAGGATGGAGATTGAGGTTGTGAAAAGTTGTGGTATTTTTGGTTATAAGGACGTTGGGGATAACCAGGTTGTTTGGATGAGTCATGGGGACGAGGCTGCTAGGTTGCCTGTTGGGTTTGAAGTGGTGGCTAGGAGTGAACAGGGAGCTGTCGCCGCCGTTGAGGACATAAACCGGAGGTTTTATGGATTGCAGTATCATCCTGAGGTACTTTTAGGTTTTGTTTTGTGTTTATGAAGTTCACTTCTATTGTTATTGTTTTTACATAATGAATAGTAATAAACAAATTTCTTAGATATAACACCAATTAGAAAGCGATATTTTCAGTCTAAAAGTGAATTTTACATTTTTCTTCAAAAAGTTAGCTTTTTTTAAAAGAAGAATTACATTTATTTTTGTAAGCTGCATTCAGTTCTTGGCATCTCAGTAACAAACAAAACAGAATCAAATGATGTTTATGTTTTAACTTGTGTTTGTTAAGGTTACGCATTCGCCGGAAGGGATGGAAACACTGAGATATTTCTTGTTTAATGTTTGTGGAGTGAATGCTGGTTGGAAAATGGAAGATGTGATGGATGAAGAACTTAAAGTGATCAACAACACTGTGGCACCTGATGATCATGTTATATGTGCTTTATCTGGAGGTGTTGATTCCACAGTTGCTGCAACCCTTGTTCACAAGGCAATTGGGGATCGACTTCACTGTATTTTTGTCGACAATGGTTTATTAAGGTATAGTTGTGGAATATACAATTTGGTAATAAGGTCTTGCTTCCATAATTCATTGTTTGATTTCTTTGTAGGTATAAAGAAAGAGAACGAGTGATGGAAACCTTTAAAAGTGATCTTCATCTACCTGTTACTTGCGTCAACGCAAGTGATCAATTTCTTAGTAAACTTAAAGGAGTGGTAGACCCCGAGATGAAAAGGAAGATAATAGGCAAAGAATTTATCTTCATCTTTGATGCTTTTGCCCAAGAGCTGGAGCAAAAATTAAAGAAGAAGCCAGCTTTTCTTGTTCAAGGAACCTTGTACCCCGATGTTATCGAATCTTGTCCTCCACCAGGTTCTGGAAGAACTCACTCTCACACCATAAAAAGTCATCATAATGTTGGAGGGCTTCCCAAAGATATGAAATTAAAACTCATTGAGCCGCTTAAACTTCTCTTCAAGGATGAGGTTTTGATATTGTTTCCTGTGGCATTTTCTTGTATAGTTGTCTCTTTCCTCTTCTAATGTATTTATTCTCTTGTGTGTAATTTTGAAAGGTTCGAGAACTTGGGAAGATATTGAAGGTTCCTGAGGGGTTTTTAAAGCGCCATCCATTCCCTGGGCCCGGCCTTGCAGTTCGAGTCTTGGGTGATGTAACTGAAGGCAATGCCTTGGATATTGTGCGGCAGGTAAGATGTGTTCATTAAGCAAGTAGGATCATGTTTATAAAACCTTTTAGCGTCTTTCTCAATCATGAACTTGTTTCCCCAGGTTGATGAAATTTTCATTCAATCCATCAAAGATGCTGGTATTTATGACTCAATTTGGCAAGCTTTTGCTGTCTTTCTGCCGATAAAATCTGTTGGGGTTCAAGGCGATCAAAGGACACATTCTTATGTTGTTACACTCCGAGCTGTTACAAGTCAAGATGGAATGACAGCAGATTGGTAAGTTTTTTTTCGTTCTGCAGTGCTTTGCTTTCTATGGTTGTTGCAAATATGTAAATGCTCAGCATAAGCCATAAGTTAATAGTATAAGCATAAAGCCTTAAGCTCAAACGTGTCTCTAAATATGGATTGAGTTCAAATTAATTTTATGCACATGATATGGCTGTTTGCAACAAGGGGGGGATTCATGATTTAGGTAAACGATATGGTTTTCCCAACTAGCAGAATTGTTACAGCATCGATGCTTAACACGGGACAGCTTCAAAAGTTATCATCGTTACATGCTACAAGGTGTCTCAACACCTAGGAAGCTGTATTTGCTCGTCTGGTTAAAAAAAAACCCTTGAGCTTTCTCCGTAACTCTTTCGAAATTGCAGGTACTGTTTTGAGAATAGTTTCCTTAAAGATGTTTCTCAAAAGATTTGCAACAATGTTCGAGGCGTGAACCGTGTTACATTAGACATTACATCGAAGCCCCCATCGACAATCGAGTGGGAATGATATATTCATCAGTGTCCCTTATCTTAGTCAAGCATTGATCTCTTATCTTTAGATGTGCAAGGTATATCTGCATTATCCTATTTGTCAATGGGGTTGTTCTTATACACTTGGTGCAACCAATTTTCTTTACTATTTAACATTATATTTCTGTTGGTAGTTGTAATTATATTTTCCTAGCGTAGGTGATGGATGCTTCTATCCCAACATATATTCTTTTTAAGTATGTGGTGATTATAAGGGTAGTATTGTTTATAAATTTTCTTAACCATTGACAACGTGCACTTTTTGCAACACATAACTTTTAATACACACCTTATAGATAGAGTTGCTTGAATTCGAGACTTTTAGGGAGAACAATTGAGGTCGTTTGATGGCCCAACTTTGAAAGGTTTGTGGTGATTGAAATTGTTTTCATGTTTTCATCTCAACTAAGAGGGATTGAATAGTAAGAAAAATATTGGCTTGAGTAAAAAAAACAAAAAAAAAACATAGTTATCCTAATCAATATACACCTAATTAAATAATCCCTTCTGCTGAGTTGTTCGAATTTCTATACAAATCTAATTGTAATTATGAGTTGTTCGAATTTCTATACAAATCTAATTGTAATTATTTATAGTATTTTTGTATGCATTTATTCCAATTTTTTGACTTTCTCTAATCACATAATATATATATCTATCTCTTCATATTATTTTCACATTACAATGTTATATCACATACAATCTAAAATTATAAAAATATATCTACCATGTTATATTTTATAGAAGGTATCTTGAGGATAAAAGATTAATGAAAATATAAAGGAGTTAAAGAATTGATATGAATACAATACACTGGTTGCACAAAAAAATTGTTTTTGCACCAATACCAATGTAAAAGGAAAGTCCAAAAAAGGTTTTATAAGATTAAAAAGGTCCGTTGAATGCCTCATGGATATGTCATAATAGATCCGAACACTTGCCCCGGATCGACTTTCATATCATAATTGCTCTAGTGAATAATTAAAGAAAAAATAGATAGATAAAAAATAATAGATAGATGAGAGATAGAAGAGAGATAGAAGAGAAAGAAACTAATTATAAGCGTCTCTCATAGGTTCACTATTTACTTAACAGTTGGCGGGTCTCTTTGTACATAATTTGTAAACAATTGTAGTCAAAAAGATTAAATTAAGTAAAATGTAAAATTAAAGGATTAAATTCAAACAATGGAGTATATTTCAGTAAAAAAAATAAGAATTAAAGTTGCATAGGTATTCTATAATGGTAAGGGAGCATGTGGTTTAAATTTGGTAAAAAAACATACTTAAAATGGAGAATAGATTGAAGAAATATGAAAATTGTGTAAAATTGAATGACTAAATTGAAAAATAAAAAAATTGTTATTAGAAGTGGAATTGAAAATACATATGTATTCTATGCTGGTATAGGAGTATGTGGTTCCAATTTGGTGAAAATTTGACTTAAAATGAATGAGGAATTTCTTACTGCTGTTTGATGCAATGCAGTTGTTGAACTGGTGAGTAGAAGCTATGCTTATTCGAAGAACCTCTACGGCTGCTCGACAGTTGTGGTTGAAGACGAAATCATTTCTTCTCTTCCAAATCTGCCAAATAATAGAAGAGAAAATGAGATGCCATGGAGAATGAGTGTTAGACTGACGACTTCCAGCCTTTATGATGTCGAAAATCCAGTCATCCAAGTCGAGATAGAAAAAAAAAAAGAGCTGGCATGCCAAGATTATATATATGCAGCCAGAGATGTTGAACGTAAGAACAGTCGCGTAAAACATGTAAGATTGTTTCTTGACTTGCTCCACAGAGATGACAGATGGATCATTGAAGAGGTTGCGTCTACATCTTTCAGAATTCGTCATAAGGTGTCGATGAACTATCGTCCAAAAGAATAACCTGATTCGTTGTAGCACTTATAGGTTCTAGATAGTGCTCCATTTTGGATCACAATTTGGCCATGAATCCTTAGGACAAGATTTTATAAGCCGATTGGACACTAAATTCATGTTTTGGTCCCCATCTCCAAATAGGAGAGTCGTCATCTTCACGATTTGGTAGAGGTTTAATACCCATGATATGAGATACCTATGTTGCACTGATACAAATACGGGATAGGAAACAAAAGTTTCTAAAATTACAGAGTACAAGGATGATAAGAATACGACATATAAAAAAAATTGAAATTATAAATAGATGTAAAAAAATCATAAATAAAGTTAATATTTCATAGAAAATTAGAAAATAAAATCTATAAGTAAATCAGACATTATAGTATCAAATCTCAAGACCCTTATTTTAATTTGTTAATTGTTTGTTATCTAACGGTTTAAATCTGCATATGACCCTTTTTATCTTAAATTAAACATTGAAGGGATAAAATATTTTTAAAAAATAAGGATTAAAGTAATTATTTAATCACGCATTAGGATTTAAAACTAAAATAATTATTCTATTATAGACAACATTGAATGATAATAATATGAAACAAAACAACAAGAATACCACAAAATAAAGCTAACAGTAGAAACTACACCTAAATTAGTACAAACACACAGCACAATTGCTTCAACGCCATCTTCTCCTGTGACTAAGCCAATTTATCGGCAACCAAGAGAGAGAATAATCCCATAACTCCAGTATGTTGTTGGATACTACTGTCCTTTGACTCTAGAATTAGAGTCTCCCCTTTAGATATCTTCACACTTCTTGGTTTCGAGTAGCAGGTCTACATTCTTCCGACATACCCAGCTTCATTTTGGGTAGCAGGTAGAATACCCTCTTTTTATCCGAGATTTTTTTTAAAAATTTTTTAATAAAAAATGTCAAAATTACCCCGGGGACGCATATGATAGTCACATGCCATCCCAAAACGTTCCCAAGTTCATTCAACCATACCCCGCCATCGTGGTACGTTTCCGGTACGTACCTCAATCGTTATTGTGTCGGTGACGTATTAAGTATTTGAAATGGGGTTCCTTTGTTGTTCTCGTGCTTCATAGTGGGTCACAACGGTTGTTGGGAGGATAGCTTGGAAATTCCCGATCTTCCATTCTCCATTATTATCGATAAAATCACTTAATAAGGGTACCCACTGGAGTTGTAAGTTGATCAGGCAACAAGCCTATGGTCGGAACCCAAACGTCATCCCACACATGGATATTAGACCCATTCCCCACTGTCCAAGCAATATTTTGTATGAAAGTGTGCCAAATTTTTGTCAAAAAGCGCCAAAGTGGGGAGCATAAGTGGAAATGAATTGAGGTAGGGAGGCGATCTTTCACTTTGTATTTATTTCGAAGGAACTGAATCTAAAGCGAGTGGGGTGAGCAGACTATCGCGAAGTATATTTTCTCCAAAGAGCGTTGTTGTGTTGACGTAAACAGTGCAGGCCTATGCCACCTCTGTCAAGAGGGATGCAAAGCGTGTTCCACTTCATCATAGAGGGTTTAAAATTTTGAGCAGTCGATCCCCAGATGAAATGGCAAACTAGGCGGTCAATTTCAGTGCAAATCCTTGTAGAGAGTTTCGATGTTTGCGTGAAATAGATCGGAATTGACATAAGAACCAATCAAGCTAAGGTATTGCGACCAACAGTTGAAAGGACCCGAGAACTGATAATCGGTGCAAAGAAGTCTTCTATACAAATTTACATACCGAGATATTTGCCCAGATTATCCACTACACCAAATCCCAGTCTATCGCATATTGCAGCACGCATGATGGGGTTAGTATTCGGGGCGGAGGGGGGGGGAGAGAGTTGGGTCTTACTTGAATTAACTATAGCCTGAATGGCGTCCAAACTCCGATAAAATGGACATAATCACGTCTTCACATCTGCATTAGCCATATCAACTTTTGCATAAAGCATCATATCATCTTCGAAAAAAATAAATGAGAGTAATATACCAGACTTGGTGAAACGGAAAGGTTCCGAAATACCATTATGAACCGCTACTGTTATTTGTAGTAACTTCCTAAGAATTCTATCACTGGAACATTCATCTGTTCTTCATAAAAAGAGACAAAAGTATGAATGTAAAAGTCCTAAAATTTTATTTTGTGCATTATACAAATGTGCAGGAGACAACAAAAGCCAGTCATTATTTACTTTTCCTAAATTTGAGCTGCTGCCCCTCATCCTCATGGAAGTCGCACGAGCTTGTTCACAGCCACGTCTAGGGCATCTACATTCCTCCTCAGAATTTTCCTTCACAAACATTAAGGAATCATATCAATGGGTGACATTATGCATCTGAGACAACCATGGTTAATCTCTTTCATGTATTTGGATGAATGTTTGATATAATTGTCAGACAAATATACTTTTTTTGAATTAATCACTGACATCTGATCTATTGACCGACTAATCCAGATCAGATTTTGCAGAAGCCCATTATGAGGGTGACCCTCCCAACCCAGTTTGCTTCATTCGTAAAAACTAGGGTTCAGAGGTCCACCATAACCTACCTACTTCGAGGAAGAGGCTACAATCTAATATCAGTATATCACAAAGCAAAAATACACCAAGGCAATGAAAAAAGGATACAGCTGAGTAGCTAGACTGTCCATGCCCTTCATTTCCTCATTCAATCTGCAAATAAGCAAAAAAAAATGTATTAGGTAAGGCAAATCAATATAGAAAAGCAAGATCTTATCATGCACATTTACCCAAAACGAATTCTACCATCAAATCTAGGAAAGAAATGTTTTGAGAGAGATAGAAACCTTCATTTGGTTCTACCATAGAACTTGTTAATTTATTTGTAAATAACAAGTAACTCGAAAATGCGATGATCATCCATTTTCTAGTTGAAATAGTAACAATGCATACTACGAGACCATAAATTTCCCTTTTCCTACCACCAGCTACAGCAATCTCAATAAAAATACTAGCATAGATTGTTTTATTACTACACCATTTATTTTACTGCATAAAATAATAACTAGACTAGATGCTAGATATTTAGATGGCGTAAACAGGCCGGCCATCAAACAGAGCACAGGGATACTACCTGAGACATGAATTTATATACCGGTTTCCCTTTGTTGCCGCATCAAGTGCTGCAAATCCAAAGAACAAGTTCACATTATGCATCAGAATCAGACAATCAATTTGACACATTGTAAGATTTCAGGAGGGAAAATAATCCACAAAATAAAATTCATCAGACTCCAGATGAGCAATATGTTCTATAATAAGTAGCACAACAGTTATATATTAAAGCATATATTTCACAAACAGGTCCTCAGTCCACTTGAACTGCATTTTAGCACAATTTTCAAAACTACTTCCAGTGAAGATTAGTCAGATTAATTTAGGATAAGAACAAAAAAACTTTAAGGTTGACCAATTGCTAGAACTTTGGAGCTAAGCCATGCTAATGATCTTGAAAACATAAAAGTACCCGTAAATAGTTACCTGGTTTTTAGGGGGCCAGGGACAACCCACATATGTTAATATATTTTACAAAAATGACAAGAGCAAATAACCATAAAAACAAACAAAATTCTGCAACAATGAAGTGAGTATAATGTTTAGCATTTCATTACCAGATTCTTGAAGACGCCCAACAGCATCACCGAAGCATCGCATATGATCAACCGAGCCACTAGTGACCTACAATGGATAATGGAAGTAGATTCCACATCATACGCTTATTATAAATCGAAATTGCACCACACGTTAGGAATAACTATATCCAAATTAGTCAGGTTAAGGAAAGTAAACTCAACGATGCTCCAATTCATTGCCAATGATCTAATAAAGGAAGATACTATCACATTCAATACTTCCTAATGCATAATTTCGAAATTCAAAACCCTAAAGTTCAGGAAAAGAAAAGAAAATAAACACCACCGTATTCCGTAATTGATCAAAATAGTAATTGCCTAGATTTTTTTTCAGAATGTTAACAACAATTAAAGAGTACTATTTTATGAATTAAAGAGTAATAAAATGTAAAATAAAAAAAATTAAATAAGTAAATAAGGTGAAATCATAATATCAGACCTCAGAGAGAGCGAATCGAAGCGAATCAAAGAGGGAGGAGAAGCTATCGGCAATAGCCCGAGAGTCACTCTCAACCACTTCGACGGCTTTCAAGATGTCGCTTTTGTTCCATGTCGTCTCCGATGCGCTGCCGTCGAGTCCAAATGCTTCCCGTTCAGTCTCGGAACACGTTGACGGTTGATCCGTATTCTGTTTTCTGATCGTAACTTCCTCTTCAGTAGATTCATCTCTCTGATCTACTGCTGAAGTTGAGTCTTCCATTTCTCCTTCAATAATTAGTTGTTCACTCAGCTTTTTTTTTTTTTTGGGAATCGTTTTCTTTTTCAATTTTCACTACACTTGAATTATGGATCTGGGCTGCTAATAAAATGGTCGCTTCCCCTCGGCCTATACTGATATATATTCAACTGTTTATTTTAATGGGTAAAGTACACAAAATGGTCCCCGACAATAAGATATTATTTTATTGAGTTTGTCGATTATTAAAAGTTAAAAAATGATCATCCTACAATAAGATGTTGTTTTGTTAAGTCCATTGACTATTAAAAGTTACAAAATGGTCATTCAAGTATTTATTATGTTCCAAAATGGTTCTTTTGCGTTAAAAAATTGACGACAGTCTAAACTAGACATTTACTTGCTAACTGAGATATGATAAAATATGATATCATAATCTCAAACGATTATCATATTTCAGTCAGCATGTTAACATCCAGTTCAAACTATCTTTAATTTTTTAACGGAAAATGATGGGTTTGGAAATAATGAGTAGTTGGATTGTCATTTTATAACTTTTAATAATCGAGTGACTCAACAAAACAACGCCCTATAACCAGAAGACTATTTTATAACTTTTAATAGTCCATGAACTCAACAAAGGAGTATTGTGTAGCCGGGGGACCATTTGTGTAATTTACCCTATTTTAATTTAGTTTTGTCATAACCATTTTTAGGTGGAAAAATTGTTTATTGTTTTAAAAGCGATTATGACTTTAATTCTGGAAAAATTGGTAATTTTGAATTAATTTGGAATTAAATTGAAAGGAGTCGCCATCGACCTTTAGATTAGGTAGGTCGAATACCTAAAAATGTCTTTAAAAAATAATTTTAAGGAAAAAAAATCATTTTTAAGACAAAAAAACTAGTCTGCTTCACCAAAGATTCGATTAAATAGATTCGGGAGTCGATTACGCATGGGGAAGGATTAGCACCCCCACAACACCCAAATTTTGGTACCTAAACGATTAAACAATGTTTTAAATATTGGGAATTACAAACTCAAAAATATATTTAAATTACGATCTTTTTATTCATTCGAATTTATTAAAAAATGTAAACAATCTTCGAGAACGTACTTCCTTTATTTTTAGGAGACTTTCCCATAAATTCACCTCACAACAGATATTATTTCTCAATTTTCATAACGATAAAATAAACTAAAATGAAATAAAATAAAATAAAAGTGAAATAGATGATAACTATTGAATAAAAATATTTGTGAGAAAATACTCGATAGGATACCTTCTCTTTAATTGGGAGATGTCTCGTAATTTTTCCTCACAATGAAGTTTTTTTCATTTTTATAATATTAAAATAATAATAATTCATAAACAAAGTGGAAATAAAATTTCCTACAAAGAACGCTTTCAACAAGTACATAATTTATACAAACATAAATAAAAAACAAAGTTACAAATTTGTATTAAAATGTACATTTACAAACTTGATAAACTAGAATACGGATAAGAATCTAATTATACCTAGTAAATACGTACTAAATAGCAACAACAATAACTTTAGAGCTATGACACTAATAATATAACAAATCATAACTAATGTACAAATTTCACATAACATGAGTACTAAACAGAAATAAATTCAAAGTAACATGTGTGACTAAAATAAAAAAAATAAAACATCAAGCTACTACTATTAATTTAACCAATAACACAAAAACACAAAACAGTGACTAAAACGAGCTTAATATAATCTATACTTCCCAAACCTAAAAAATTAAAATAAAATGGCCAAATCAAGAATATAAACATAAATAAATTTACTACGAAATAAGGATAAAAATAAAATAAATACAAATAAAGAGATCAAAACAAAAGAGAATTAGAATGTTATGCATGTCGTAAAACTAAAGGGACCTTGAATGACATTTACCCATGAGTTGAAAACATGGGTTCTTAAATCTCCCACACGTCACCGTTTTTAATTACCCAATATCTGAATAAAATACACGGCCAAATTGGATCTTAACCTTCATTTCTCTTTTTTTTTCTAAACCAAACTAGTAAAATATTACTACATCATTTCAATTGTCATAACCTCTCAAAGAGATACATTGACACGCAACCAATACCAAGCTTCAATAATTTTTACAGAAGGTTATACGTGGAGAACCAAGGATCATGAAATGTGTTTGATTTCAAATATTAATTTACAACCTTTACCTCTCTCAGTACAGACTTACACAACACTGGATTTGATATTAGAATAGATAAACAGGGCGATGAGTTGCACTAATAAAGGTCTTGGATTACACCGCACTTTGCTGATGGCGTGGAGCAGTCCCTTTGACAACAAGATCCTATGGTCCGGTGAAGCAATCAACGGCCGGATTGAATCTAAGGTAAACCCTCACTCTATTTCTCTTTGTTTCAAGCTTTTCTCTATATTTTCTTTTTGTTTTTGATGTGGGTTATTTTTTCTTCCTTTTTCTTTTTCGGTTATGCTCCCTCTTTGCTCTCGATTTCTCTTTGATTTTTTTGTTAAAATCTTCATCGAATCTCTTTGGATACATCTGTATTTTCTTTGCATTTGGTAAGATCGTGACAGATTTAGTTATGATTTATGTATTTACTTTTGACTTTGATACAATTTTGATTAGTTTTGTTGTTCGGTTGGCTGACATAATTGATTATGACATTTCAACTTGCTCGGAGGTGACTCGTCTTGATGACTCGTAGGGGAGAGGTTTGGTATTATTGCTGATCTGGGTCTGTTGGGCTGCTAGATTTTGAAACTGGGTCTTTGGGTAACTTTTTGTAACTTAGGCCTGAAAAAATGTAATTAATTAGTAATAAGATTAATAATAATAATAATAATATAGATAATAAAATATTAATATAATTAATAACGTTTTTCTTTCGAGACTCGAACAAAAATGGGTGTTTACAGCTGTTCCTATTTGTACATTCTTGTGTTAATAAGAATAGGACAAAGACGAAAAAAAATAACCAATTTTTATCTGGTTCTCTTTTTTGGTTTTGAGATTTGTTGTTTGATTTGGGAGACGACACGACTCATACGTGTTGAAGAGTTCTGGTCGTCTAAGGGTGACAAGACTCCTACATAATGAGGAGATTTAGTCATGGGATGACACTGCTCATACGTGATGAAGAGTTCTTTGACATCTTTAGGAAAGGTGATAACACGGCTCATACGTGCTGAAGAGTTCTAGTTATCAAGGATTGACACGACTCTTACATAATGAGGAGATTAAGTCAGATGATGACACGGCTCCTACGTGATGAGGACGGCATGACATCTATAGGTGATAACATGGTTCTTACGTGATGAGAACGACTGGCTATCTAGGGTTGACACGGTTCCTACGTGATGAAGAAATCAGGTCGGTGGATGACAAATTGTTGTGACACTAAGTCGATCCATTGGGGCACAATATTCTTCTTCGTGAAGTTGAAATCGTAAGTGGCTCTTTCGTCGTGAAGTTGAGCTTTGAGTTTGATAACTTTCATTTTGAAGTGTTGAATTGAACAAGTTCTTCTCATTATGAATTTCTTCTCTCTTGTTGGATGAGTTCTTCTCATTATAAACTCTCCACTAGAAATGTTAATGCAAGGTTGAACAAGTTATTCTTATTATGAACTTCTTCTTCCTCGTTAGATGAGTTCTTCTCATTATGAACTCTTCACTGGAAATGTTGATCCACCTCATTCTGTGATAGAATCGAACCAAGGTTGAACAAGTTCTTATCATTATGAACTTCTTCTTCCTCATTGGATGAGTTATTCTCATTATGAACTTTTCACTGAAAATGTCGATCTATCTCTTTCTTTGATGGAATCAAACCAAGGTTGAACAAGTTCTTCTCATTATGAACTTCTTCTTCCTCATTGGATGAGTTCTTCTCATTATGAACTCTTCTGGAAATGTTGGTTCACCTCCTTCTGCGGTGGACTTGAAAGGAACAAGTTCTTCTCATTATGAATTTTCTCCTTTAGGACGAGTTCTTCTCATTATGAACTCTTCTGGAAATATTGGTTCACCTCCTTCTTTGGTGAATTTGAAAGGAACAAGTTTTTCTCATTATGAACTTTCTCCTTTAAGACGAGTTCTTCTCATTATGAACTCTTCATTAGAAATGTCGATCCCTCAAGCGAGGTGTCACTGATTCAAAATGTCGTGAATCGAAGGATAAGTCAAACAAGTTCTTCTCATTATGAACTCTTCATTAGAAATGTCGATCTCTCAAGCGAGGTGTCACTAATTCGAAATGTTATGAATCGAGTGATAGGTCGAACAAGCTCTTCTCATTATGAACTTGTTCTCCCTCTGTCGGATGAGTTATTCTCATTATGAACTTTGTACTGGAAATGTTGATCTGTTTATCTTCTCTTTGAAAATTTTTAGACCTGCAAAAGATTATCATCTGTCAGTAATAATTGTGTTTGAAGTACCCGAAGGTATTGACCCAAAGGTTCTCGAATCTTGGTTGAGATCCATTTCTTTCAATGGTGAAAAATATGGATTGATTCTTTGGTGAAATCATGAAACGAAATCTTTGTTGGCTCTTTGAATTCCTGTTAGATATTTAAAACTTATGAAAATTAATAAGAAACTTATTTTAAGAGAAGCACTCTCAAGTGGGATAAATTTTGTTCTGAAGGAAAATTGTCTCAAGCAAGACGAAGTAGGTTTTAAGAAAAACCATCTCAAGTGAGATAAATTTTGTTTCAAAGGAAAACTGTCTCAAGCCAGACGAAGTAGGTTTTAAGAAAAACCATCTCAAGTGAGATTCATTTTGTTTCAAGGGAAAGCTGTCTCAAGTGAGACGAACTTGGTTTTAAGAAAAACCATCTCAAGGGAGACAAAACTTTGTTTCAAGAGAAACTGTATCAAAAACTTGTTTCAAGAGAAACTATATCAAGGGAGACAAAATTTGTTTCAATGGAAACTGTCTCAAGGGAAACTATCTCATGAGAGACAAAATTTGTTTTAAGGAAAACTATCTCAAGAGAGACAAAATTTGTTTCGAGGGAAACTGCCTCAAGAGAGACAAAATTTATTTCAAGGGAAACTATCTCAAGCGAGATA